TAAATCATCTCGGTATTTTTATAGAAGACTTGTGAAAGACCTCGACAATGAAAGTCAGTCAAGAGAAAATTGTCATTAAGGAGCACGCTTATCCGCGTACTCCTCAATGCCAGGGGCCTCTATGTTAATATCAGATTCGAATCAGGATCATTAAAAGCTCCTTGAGATGATTAATGAAGACTGTTTATACTTATCACCGAAATTACCGAATTGTGAGGAGTTGTCTCTCGGATCACCTCGGCACTGAGACGACATCTCTGTATATTGGGTTCACCGCAAAGTCAGGAGGATGTGCAACTTGTGAAGAAACCGACTTCCAAAAGAACCGACTTAGGTCCGACCAAAAGTGACGCCTATCAGTCAGCTGATGGAGCACCCATGTCGTCATCATTGCCTACATGACCACTTACGTCATAGCCGCCCCTACGTTGTCAACTCACATTAAATGCTGTCGTATACCCTCAAAAAGTGTGCCGAATGTTACTATAAATAGGTGCATTTAATTCAATACGAGGGAGGGGATCCCGACACATTAAATTCGAACATTAAGTACCTCGGTTTTCCTCGGAGATCGACCTCGTGTACTGAAAAACCGACTTGTTCTACATTATTACCGACTTCAATAAATTCAATAAAAATCCAACTTTCTGCAATTCTTGCTACTATTTATATCTTAATTACGTTGGTTAAATCCGTTTATCAACAGGTATTTAAATCACTGATTTGTACAATAAAAATTAAAATATTTTACATTTTTTACTGTGAAATTATGTATGATGAATATGCAACAATGATAAATAACTAACAAAGTGGTAACTAATTCAAGTGGTGCCCATATTTTCACATTAAATTTGCCAAAAAGGATATTTTTTATTATATTTTAAAAATTATATATGTATAAAAGTGATATTATTTACAACTTCATATATTTGATTCGTTTTTTTTAAACAAAATAATTTTTTTATTGTATTGTGATTATATTTATATTTATAGGGTCCTTGTCTCACGTTTATTAATTTTTCAAGTATTCTAAATTCATATGATTAATAATCTATTACTATATAATACAGTTAAGAAAAAATGTTTGAAAAATATTTTTATTTTGCCGCTCAAATCCTTTTTTTCCCCCTAAAATTTTATTGGAAATTTTTTCATACACGTTTTCCTTATTTTGGATGAGATCACATGAAGATTTTTAGGAGACATTCCATATTATCTAACTTTCATACAATCTACCACTGAAAAAAAATTCCAAAAGTCTCGGCCAAAAAACCACTCATTCCATTAAAATTTGTCTCAATTAGTTTTAAAAAAAATCTCAAAAACCTCGCGAACCCAAAAACCCAATTCTGCCAAAATTATCCTTCTCCGCCGTCATCAGATCCATTAAAATTTTGTCTCGATTAGCTTGAGAAATAATCCCAAACACCTCGCTAGAACTCGAAATCCCAATTCGGCCAAAATTCCCCTTTTCCTCTGCTGAGATAGCCGGCGGCGATCGCCACGAGCTCTCATCAGCTTCGGAGTCGGGCTAGGGTCGGAGGTCCAAATATTGAAAATTTTCCGTTCCGAGGTCCGTGGAAACGATGGATCTGGCGGCGGAGGCGGAGAATAGGAGGAGGGAGACGGCGACCGTTTGCCTATTTGGTGTCTTTTTTTTTGGGGAGATTTTTATCTTTTGCTTTCTTTTTTTCTTTCTTTTTGTTTGTTGTTTTGGTGATGGCGACGAACACGCATAAAATGCTCAGCAATAATCGGATTCATGGGTCTGCTGCGCTACCTGCACAGGCTGTGGCTACGGCGACGACGACGATTCGTACATCGACTTGCTTCGGCGGCTTTTCTCTTCACTCACCGATCTTCTGAATCACAGTCTTCCCATTCGTCAGAAACAAAAGAAGATCTTCTGGGGATCTTTTTCTGTTCTTAAAAAGCGCGGTTAAATTATGTTCTTATATTTTGGTACTAAACGAAAGTTGCACTTGTTACCTATGATCTTTTTTTCCAAATATATAACAACCATATTCTTTTGTTTTTTTCAAATAAAAACACATTAGATTAAACTCAAACCAATTTACACAAGGGATATCAACTGATACCAACACTTTCCTATCTAACCTACATGCTAGACAGTCCAGAGCCTGGAGTTTCCATATGGAACCCCCTCAAAGACCAACATGGTCATCCACATTAAAATCAAGTCACCAAACTGAAATTACACAAGAGTCAAAAGCAGTTAAAACATCCTGGAATTCAAGATTCAGACTAATATGATTTACACTGAAATACTTTTCACTGAAATATATAATAATCATATTCGTTATTTGATTTTCTTGGCATGGATTTTATATTTTCTTTCTTCAATACATTAGAATTTCATCTTAATAAGTTGTTCCCTATATAATGATAATTTAAACAAACTGTAATATCAAATTATGGTTGTAAATTTTTTAATATCAATTTAATTATAAATCCATGTTTCTGGTTGATGTGCTAGCAAGTTATTTGTAAAATAAGAATATTGATTTAATTCACATGTTTAATGAGATGATTATGTTATCATACCAAAAAAAAAAAGGAAATAAATCACTTCCAAACGAAGTGTAACACCACATGCATCGCCTTAATCACTTTCGAGATTCACTAAAAATAATAATAATTATGTGCTTTTCTTCACTACCAAATGAGATGTAACACCACATGCATCGCCTAAATCGAGAGGTTTTTGAGGTTTGAATCTGTATATTTATGCATACTCAGAATGTGAGTAAGTTAAACATTGCATAGTTATCGTATTTTTATTCGTATGATTGGAAAGTCGCGTTAGTTGAAGATATTATACAATAATATTATATAAAAAATTACAAAGAGTTTAAAAATTTATTTAAATAGAAAAATTCCCTCTAAAAAAATATTGCCATTAGAACTGAAAGAGTAGAATTTTAATTTTTCAGTAAATCTGATTTTCTACTTTTTTTCAAAATCCCAAATATTTTTTCAATTTTATGAATCTACCACATAGTATAACTAACCCCAAAGATTGTTTCACACCATTTTAAAATATGGATGACAATTTTTTTATTTTTTATTTATAATTTGATTTGCTTCATTTGGTTGGCAAGTCAATTTTAATTAACAAAAACACAATTCACAAGTAAAATATAACTTTTTTTTTTCAAGATATTTGTACAAGACTATGTTTCCTATGATAATTTTTTCATTCATAAAATAAAGGTACTTTATTATTTTCTCATTTTCAGTTTTTCTCTCTTTCTTACTTTTCTATAAAAGAAATCATAAGATAGGTTGTGAAATATTTTTGTAAAGAAATATTCTTATAATGTTATAGCATATTTAAAATCAAATATTTCAAATTTTTTCAGATTTGAAATTGATCTAATCAGAGCAGGGCTTGAGATAAGGCGGGCCGGGCGGCTGTCCAGGGCCTACTTTTATATATATATATATATATATATATATATATATATATATATAATTATACAACAAAATATTGTATCAAAATTAATCTTAAATATTGAAATAGTAACTAACATTCCACCTAAAAATTTTAAAGTTACTAAACTTGATAATATTTTTAAAAATTTCTCAAAAACCCCGCCTAAATGTGATATATGAAAACTACTAGAAAACATTTAAATTCAAGCATTTCAAGGAAAAGATCATGGATCACATTCAGATTTTTTGAAATACTTTCCTTATTTTAAACCAGATAATAATCATATATTTTCATTATATCATTTTTAGTTTGGCCAAGTATTCAATTACTTTAAAGGAGAGGATTGACAAATATAATTTAGAAAAATTAATAAATTTTAGTCAAATCATGGAAATATAATTTATGCAGTGAAAGTAACCAAACCGCTTACCTTGATGGATTTGGATATCAGTCTTTAATTTCCTAAATAGCATTCATAACAAAATAGTAGTCAAATCATAAAATATCTATATATATACTAAAATAAATTTTGTATTAGTATAAATGTGTTAGTGAGATAATATATTAATAATTTTACAAGCTAGCCTTAACATGCTCATATTTAATATTCTAGCAAAAAAAAAAAAAAAAAAAATGTTGTGGTTGATTAAAAGTGAAAAATAGATTATAACCTTATTATTTTTTCGAATTAATGTTGATTACAAGAAATAGAAAATAGATAATTACTTATTGTTTTTTAGACTTAAACGGACTGAGCTTGTGAAAATAACTCATTTAATTATCTTTGTCACGTGCATCGCACGGGGTACGTACTAGTTTAGAGTTTATGTAGAAATGTATTATTTTATAACTTTATTAAACACAAAATTATTTTATTATAGTTTTTCATATTTACTATTTTAAATAACATAATAACGTTCAACTATTTATATAATCTATTTAAATTGAGAAACAATATTTTATAATATTTCTTAAAATTTATTTCTGTAAATTTAACCAAAATTTATGGAAAGAAACAATAAAATGATTATTTTATGGTGTGTTAATGAATTACATATTTATTGTTTTTATAAAATAATTTATATTGTTATAAGATGTTTTTTAAATTGAGTTGATAATAAAATTAATTGTATTTATAAATATAGATGATATTATTTATTATTTTATATATACAATATGAATGTCAAATTAAAGATCGTTAAAATAAGATTATTTTGGTAGATCATATATAAAAAAATAAAATACAAATAAAAAATTTATATAATTTTAAAAATAAAAAGAATACATATTTATAATAATTAATATATGAATTAAATAAAAAAGATAAGAGTGGTATATGGTAACATAAGAAGAAGGAAAACTAAAATAACTTATGATAATTTTCAAACGTAATAGTCAAATTAAACCATATCTGAACATGTGTCAATACGAATCACCAATTTATGGTAAATAAGTTTACTAAGCACACGAGTTTGCCGGATCAATTTGGCTTGGTTTATGTACGGGGGCAAAATTGGTCAATAATAAATATAAATATATATTCTATTAATCCACCCTGTTATCCATTTCTTCCATCTCCCAAAATCCTGATAGCCTCCAAAACAAACCCTTCGCCACTATAGAAAGAACGGTGAAAATATAATGGGGGAAGGTAAGGTGATGGAGATTCCGACCAAGGGCGGCGGTTTCTTCGGGCAAACCGAGCAGAACCCGATTGCGGCTGTACAGGTGAAGCTGAAGGAGGTCGAGACTAGGTTTCGTGTGTGGCTGGCCAAGCAATCGTTGCCGGTGGAGGCGGCCGTCGTAACCGCCACCAGCGGGGTCCAAGGAGCCGCAATAGGCGCTTTAATGGGAACGCTCACGGCTGACGCTTCCTCTTTTCTTACACCGCCGCCGAACGCCGCAAACCTCAACCCTGATGCTATGGCGTCACTTAAACAAGCTCAGGTGAGTTATAATCCCAATACGTTGCTCTGTTGGTACACTGCATTATATTTTGTCCTCGGATTGAAGGTGTTGTTGGGTTAAGTTCGATTTAGTTGATTGTATATTATGTTTTTTATTTTCATCTGGAACAGTGTAACGCCAGTGTTTAATACTATTTGTCCAAAATATAATTTTTGGAGAAAATTGTATAATTGGTGGTTTTAAAGAAAAAAAAATCTAGTAAGTAACGTAATTTTTAAAAACAAAAACATAACAAGCTGCTTCCCAATCCGTGTTATATAGGTTCCCACTTTAAAGGAAAAAAAAAATCTAATAAATTAGGTAATTTGAAAACAAAAACAGAACAAGCTGCTTCCCAATCCGTGTTATATAGGTTCCCATTCACTATTTAGTGGAAGATGGACATTGGGGGATATAATTGACTACTAATTATTGTTTTACAATGTACAACAAATTTAATTAGGAATAATTATTAAAAAAATTGGTAATTAAGAAAATTTGAAGAAGAACGCCTTCTGTTTCTATCTACCTATCACATTTTAGACAAAAAGTTTGTTCATTTTAGGAAAAAGAAAATATTGCATTCTCTAAGTCACTTTTGGAGTTCCAAAACATATTAATTTCATATCCTGATTAATGGGTATATAGATGTTAATCAACTTATTTCTCTTTTTATTTTAACAAATTAATTTAAGAGTCAAATATCGAATATTTGAATTAATAGCATCTGATTCAAAATACAATAAGTTTACATCCAAAAATAAAAACATCAGTAATTAACTTCCAATCTGCGCTTAAAAAAAAAAACTAAAATGATTTATAAAACAGAGGAAATGTGTTAATGTTATCGGTTTATTTAGATAATTATGAATATGGATGTCATATTATATCATAGGCAATAAGTTTACAAAATATAATTAATATAGGTATTAATTTATTGGAATTAAGCATAATATGGTGTTGGGACCACGAGCTTGTAGCTCAAATGGTCTCTCTTTATAAGGGTGTTGAACTGTTTGAAACATGGTTGGTTCCATGTACCTCAGTGTCCCTTAGGAATGTAGAATCCCCACCGCTAGTCTCCCTATAGCCATTTTGTAAAAAAAATAGAATAATAAGTTTGCGTGGTACTTAGGATGTATATGATCAGTAAAGAACTACTATTGTACGCTTCTTTCTCAATAGTTATAATCAAAGTGTCTTCACCGAACATGAGTCAGTTATGATGAATCAATCAGTTCCAGCATCAACTGTACTGTGCAATTGTTCAAGTATCGATTTTGTAAAAGGAGTAATATTTTATGAAATTTGCACAAGTATCTTGCATATATTCATGTACTTTGCGATCTTGGTTTCTGGACACCATTACGGATTTGGATGCAAGGTATTTTATGGACTTCGGGAGCAAATGTGCTTCTTGGACTTAAATAGTACATAAAGTTTGGTTTCATGATGAACGTAAAAAATGATTGTTTGCTTTGTTGTTTCCCTGCAGGCTCTTTCTGGAGGTCCGTTGGTGCAAGCACGTAATTTTGCGGTCATGACTGGTGTCAATGCCGGCATTTCTTGTGTCATGAAAAGATTGAGAGGCAAGGAGGATGTTCAATCTAGGTATGGGTATGCTGAAAACCTGGATTTAGTACCAACCTTATTCTTCTCTTTATATTAAGGTTAGACCAGAGGAAAGGTGTCTCGAGCTCTCCAATTTTGAGGCTTTTATCGACTACGTATTCGGTCCAATTTGGTCCATTCCACTTGTCCTTGTGTGTGTATGAGTGTTTTTAATATGGAAAATTGAGTAGAAATGAATTAAAATATGCATATTATTGAGAAGCCCCACAATTACTCTGTGCTGGATTCTCCTGAAAGTTATAGCTGATTTTGTTCATTGGTTAGTGACAGAAAGAAACAAATACATTAAAATCAAGGATTTGGGCATCTGGATAGTGATGACTTTCAGACTTATAAACCAAAATCTCAATATTTTTTCGCTGTTGAGACATTTTTATTCCCTTAAACTAAACATATATTGATCTATATATATTGATAATGAAATCTCATTTGTTTTGTAACTAATACACGTTGCAGTTGGTGGACTTCTGAACTGGGTAATCTATTCTGGCATTAAGTTTTGCATTGTTCTGTGTTGGATGGTCACACTCACATATGATTTATTTTATGGCTTATTACTCTATTAATCATCTTTATTCTCCTCTCCTCTGGAGTGAAGTATGGTTGCTGCTTTTGGTTCTGGAGCGATGTTTTCATTAGTAAGTGGCGTGGGTGGACCTAATCAGGCAGCAAATGCTGTTACCTCTGGTCTCTTCTTTGCTCTCGTTCAAGGTGGAATTTTCCAGGTGATTATTTTGTGCAGAATACCTTGTATTCATCTTAAATACCCTTAAATTTAGTCTCTATATTGCTTACTCATGCTATGTTGTCAGTAACCTCTCTCTTTCTCTCTCTCCTTTAATTAGGTGCAATTGGAAATGATTTTTCTTTTGAATTTTTTTTTTTCTTTTTTTGTGTTAAAGAAAAGTGGGAGAGTAAGGAATTTTATGAGTATGAATAGATACAAAATCCAATTGTAATATTGGAAATTGATGTGATGTAGAAGTAATTAAATAATGATAAAAGATATGATGGGTGGTTAATAGTATGTGAGTGCTGGGTCCGTGAGTCGAGTTTGGAAAATTATGTGATAATTAATGATTTGATGGTTTACTTTGCGATCCATGAGGAAAGTGTTATATATATTCTGGGGAAACTCAATTTGATAGCTTGGTGAAATTTTCCTTTTGGAAATACATCAAATGGCAATGTAAATCTATTAGTTTGAAAATTTTCCTTTTTAAATAGATCAATATTTTTTGGAATTCAATGTGCTTGTTAAAATATTCTTCATTTCATTGGAATTTCCCACTATTCTCATATGCTAATGCTTACATATTGAGGCTAAGCACATACTTATGCTTGGTAATACAGTTTGGACAGAAGTTTTCACAACCACCAGCTGAGGATGTGTACTATGTGAAGACAAGATCTATGCTAAGCAACCTCGGCCTACAAAACTATGAGAAGAATTTCAAGCGAGGCTTGTTGACGGACAACACTTTGCCTTTGCTAACTGATAGGTAGTAACTCAATTTACTATTTTAATTGACTCTTGATATTTCATTTCAAAGCGCGACCATAGATACTGATAACCTTCTGTTTCATGTTAAAATTCAGTGCTCTCAGAGATGTGAAAATACCTCCTGGACCAAGGCTGCTTATTCTTGATCATATAGAAAGGTATTAAGTAAAAAACGTTCACCTGATACTATTTACAAACAGAACTATTGCGTTATTTTAGCTCAATTATTGAGAAAAAAAAATACGAAATTTAAAAATATTCCCGTGAAACTTGTGCATGTTTTAAATAAAAAATTGCATCCTTGGAAGATAAAACAAACACAGGCAGGTGATTGCGACAATTTTTAGTATTTGCCGTTTTGACTTTAGTTTTTGGTAAAATAGACTAAACGTTAGTATAGTTAAATATTTGAAATACTGAATATTCTGATGAATGCTTGTGTCAGCAGGAGCCCAGAGCTAAAAGACAGGCGGAAAGTTTCCCCTTGAATTAAGACTGAAAAGTTGGATCTAAGCTATGAATCTGTTGCTAGGATACTCTTCTCCACATGAAGAGATGACAAGAGTTTTGTTTTGCTACTTTGTTGTTTGTCATATTTAAGGATTTTGTTTTGCTACTTTGTATTTGCGTTCGGAATTTGTTGTGGTTTTATGAAATCGTATGGTAATTGGGTAATGTAACCCACCTTAGTTTATTTTTGCTCATAGCTTTGCTATATGCACCCTGTTTAATTCATACTTGCCCCTGCTCAGACACACTAGATTTGGTGGCCAATTCAAGCACAATTATTATTAGATTGTCCTTCTCCACAGTAAAGGACTAAAAAGTTAGATTTAGATTAGGGAATTTTGCAGTTTGTGGACATGTGAAAGTATCATATGATAAGAAGACAATGGAGCCTGCTCAGTATCTTCTAAAACAAGATTGTGAATAAGGCTTAAAAGTAGCATTCTACTGGGAAGATGCTAGAGAGCCATGAGGATGTAGAAAATGTGGATTTTGTGAATTTACTTTGATAAATGAAATTTCATTGAGTCATTTGTTTGAGTGATGGGTGTAATAAGGAATTGATGAAAAATTTTAGACCAACATAATCATATAGCTCCGTCTTAAGGGGACATTGATCTTCATTCATCACAACTTCATGATCAGTCTTCTGTTAGTTTCCATTATTCCATACATTTCAGGGATTAAAATATGAATATCCTTTAGGTTGGTAAGGTAATTTATCCGAGTTTAGAACCCGGGTAGATGTAAACTAAAGAAGATGTACTGTTGCAAATTTTGAAACGTTCAGTGTTTCTTTTTTCT